ACAGAAAAACCAGCTAACATCGGCAAATATATAGGTTCAAATTACCAGTTTACATACCTGACGTCCACTTGTGCATAAAAATATCTGTATTTAAAATAATTTTTATATTTGATCCTATTATTACATACCTAACGTCCACTGTGCATAAAAAAATTACCTGGAACTATTAAAAGATGTTTTTATTTATATTTTTTTAAATATAAAAACATGTTAGAAAAGTTGTGTATATACATATTATTGCCGAAAAAATATCTTTATTTAAAATGACTTTTGCATTTTATCCTATTATTTTGTACCATCAGAGAAGACAACACAATAAAATTATATAGGTGATGGGACAAAGGGATAAAATGGGGATCCAAAAACATTTTAAATATTTGTTAGTAAACTTAAAAACATCATACAATAAAAGAAACCAATAAATTATAAAGTTCATTATAAAAATAAAGGTATTGAATTATAATTTTGTTTAAAATGCAAGCGATAAATTTGCGCTGCATCCATTTAATAATTACTAGATTAAAAATAATATAACCTTTTTCGTTTTCTATTTGTCCACACTGTGGAAAACTTTCGTATTCATTCTTCCTTGCATAATCAAATGCAGCTTCTTGTAATTTTCTCTAGCAAATTCTGAATTAAGATGATTTTTTATAATATATTTTTATTTTTATTTATTTTTTAAATACTATCAATTATCTTTTAGGGGTAAAATGATTTATTCACCAGTTCAATTGTTGTTTTAGATTTGTTCGGGAGTATCTCCTGTTTATAATTTTTTGCACATTTCAATTAATTGGTCACCCTCGACAACAAAAACAGTATTAACTCTGGTCTATGGCTTCATCGGAATTTCCTTTAACCATACACAGTGTAACTATTTTGATGCCCTTTAAGTGAAAAAAAATCCAGGGCTTTGCTTTAAGGGTGTACTCGTAATTTTACATATCTTTCTCAACAATTTATTATATGACTTTATTATTTATTAATTTTTTTAATTATATTATTAAATTAATTTGATTTAATGTATTCAGTAAGGTCATTTAACCTAGTTTAGAATTTAGATTTTCTTTTTATTCTTTAATAATATTAGCCTAGGTTATGTCATATCACGCGCAATTATTCGATATTTGATTGAGCTATTTTTGTAAAGTTTTTATAATAAAATATTTTTTTTTCATTTCAAGTATATGATATTTAGTTAATTTAAATTATAATTTATAATTTAATTTAATTTAAATTTAATAATATTGTCACGGGCTCTAAATTGAATTTTTATAGGTTAAATATGGTTGGTTCTCAGCAATTTCATATCCTAGCATTTTAATATATTTTAAAAAAAAGTATTATTAAAAGTGTGATAATCTCAATATTTTTTTTTTGTTTATTATACATTAATGATTAAACTTTTGACTTCCTTCTATTTTTATAATTTTTTCGTAGATATAAAAAATAATTAGATCTGGACTGTAACGCAAGGACAAAAAAACCTATAGGGAAACCAAAATGTGACAATGCATGAATGGTGTGCCCTTCAAGCCAAAGGAGATTACTGCTGCTAGATTATATATATATATATATATATACATCAAATTAAGGACACCCTATTCCTCCTTGCCCCCCCATTACCAGCATCGTTCGTGACGAGGTAGCCTGATCATTCCTAGGTTCAAAGTTCTAAACATTCGCACTACACCGCTAAAGTATATATTAGTTCAATGACTCGTGTGATATTATAAGTAAATTTTTTATATAAAAAATATTAAAAAAATTAAGATTTAAAAGTATTAATTTATTTTATAAAGTTATATTCAAAAATTTTATGTTTGACTACAACCCGGACTCAAAAGTATTATTTATAATAATATTAAACTTGAAAAATCCATGTTTAAGTAGGTCTAACTGCAATATCAAACTCAATAGTCTTGGATATGGGTCTGACTGTAAAGTTATGTTATAAAAGTGTGATACTTAAATAAATTAATTAAAAAAACAAAACAAAGAAAAAAAACCAACATGAAGAAAAAAAACTAAAGAAAAAAAAGAAAAAAATATGAATTAACCGGGTTAACCCGTCAAACCTGAGATCCGTGTCATGAAAGTCTGATAACTAAATAGAAAAAAATTAATATCAACAAATTAAATAAAAAAAGTTAATTAAAAAGAAAAAAAAGGTATTAACCTTTTCACTGTGGATTATATTGTGCAGTCCACGATGAAAGACATAAAAAAAAAAATACTAAAGGTATCAGCCTTTTTACCATGAACTGTATACAATATTAAAAAATAAAATCGGAAGAACAAAAGTAATGAGGAAAAAGAAAAACAATTTGAATCAATCGGGTTAACCGGTTAAACTTGGGATCCATATCATGAAAGTCTAATAATTAAACAGAAAAAATTTAATATTAAGAAACTAAATTAAAAGAATAATTACAAAACAAAAGGAAGAGAAAAAAAGATTAAAAAAAAACTAAAAACATTAATTTTTTCACTGTCCAGTCTATAGTAAAAGGCTTAAAAAGAAAAAAAAGAAAACAAAGACATGTGCCATGGGTTATTTTTTTTTCTTGCATAAAAAATATCAAAAAAAATACTAAGATCTAAGAGTGTTATATATTTCTGCAAATATATATCCAAGAGCCTTTGGCCTAGCTGCAATATTTGACCTAAGAGTAATATTTATAATATTTATAATAATATTAAATTTACATGACTCAAGTTTAAGTGAGTCTGATTGCTACACTGGACCCAAGAGCCTTGGATATGGATCTGACTGTAAAGTCGTGTCATAAAAGTATGATAATTAAATAAATTAATTAAAAAAAAAAAAAAACCCAACAAGAAGAAAAAAACTAATGAATAAAAAGAAAAACAATCTGAATTAACTAGGTTAACCCTTCAAACCAGATTAACCCGTTAAACCTTAGATTCACGTCGTGAAAGTTTGATAACTAAATAGAGAAAAAAATTAAAGAGGTAACCCATAATTAACTGGGTTAACCTGTCAAGTTTGAGATACGTGTCATGAAAGTCTGATAATTAAATAGAAAGAAATTTAATATTAACAAACTAAACTAAATGAAAACAATTAATTAAAAAGAAAAAAAGCAAAAAAAAATAAAATTCCGGGTTAACTTGTCAAATCATGTTAACCTGTCAAAATCAGGATTCATTAACAAACTAAATTAAATAAAGAAATTTATTAAAAGGAAATAAACAAAGAAAAAAGAAAAAAAACCCATAAAGGCAAAAAAAACAAAAAAAATGAAAACAAATATATATATATATATATATATATATATATTTCATTATAATAATAATTATTATTATTATGTAAGTATGATTAAAAGGCATGGGGAAGCTACAGTGCTTTCCCCACAAAGAAAAAAAATTTGAATTAACTAGATTAACCTTTCAAATCAGATTAACCCGTCAAACTTTAGATTCACGTTATGAAAGTTTGATAACTAAATAAAAAATAAAATTTGACGGGTTAACTCATAATTAATAGGGTTAACCTGTCAAGCTTGAGATATGTATTATGAAATTTTGATAATTAAAAAGAAATAAATTTAACATTAACAAACTAAACTAAATGAAAAAAATTAATTAAAAAAAGTAAAAAAATAAAATTTCAGGTCAACTTGTCAAATCAGGTTAACTCGTCAAACTCGGGATTCATTAATAAACTAAATTAAACAAAAATATTTATCAAAAGGAAAAAAAAAAGAAAAAAGCAAAAAAAAAACCTCATAAAGGCATAAAAAACAAAAAAACCAAAAAATGAAAAATAATATATATTATAATAATATTATAATATAATTATCATTTTAATAATAATAATAATAATTATTATTATTATTATTATATAGAAGTAATATTAAAAGATGTGGTCAATAATTTCCCCACCCGTTTTAGTATATTGTTAATTATTAACATACATTAAAAAACCTTGATATTTTATTATAGCAATAGATAGTGAAATGTGTTAACCTTTTATAGTTTGGTACTCTAGAATTACTACTAAAAGATATTAGCATTTCAGTGTTGCAATGAACATTAAAATGCTTTGACTTTTTATAATTAGGTTTTTTATTTTATTTTTATTTTTTTTATAATTTTATCGTTTAATATTAAGTTTAATGAGTATTGAATTTTATAATTTATTTTGATTTATTATTTATGGAGTTATCTTAGTCATATGATCTAGTTTCTGACAAGTCAATACGAATTTATTCAACTTTTTTTTGTTTTTTTTTTAATTTCAACTTCATCATTTAGTATTGAGTTGATTGATAATTTAATTTGATTTTTTTCTATTTGCTTTCTATAAAGTTATCATGGTCTCGTGACCTCGATTGCAAGTTTTGCTGATTAGCTAATTTGATTCGAAATTTTTTAGATCATTTATTCTTTTTAATTAATTTTTTTGTCAATTTCATTATTCAAATTGAAAATTTGACTTCATAATTTTTGTTTTATTTCTATAGAGTTATCTTGATCTCATGATTCAGGTTTGACAAGTTAACCCAGTTTGAATAAAAAAAATTTTGTTTTTTAATTGAATTTTTTTTTTCCAAATTAATCCTTCAACATTGGGTTGATTAAGAATTATATTTTATAATTTATTTTCCTTTGTTTTCTATGAGTTATCATGGTTTCATGACCCAGGTTGTGAGTTGCCTGACTGCCTTGATTTTGTTTTTTTTTTTTAATTTCATCCTTCAATATTGAGTTAATTAAACGTTATATTTTATAATTTATTTTGGTTTATTTATATGAAGTTATGTTAGCTTCATGACTCAAGTCACAAGTTTAGTAGGTTAACTTGAGTGTTTTTTTCGTGCTTTTTTTAATTGGTTTTTTTATTCAATTTTAACCTTTAAAATTGGATTGATTGGGAATTAAACTTTATAATTTTTTTAAATTTTTTTCTATGTGGTTATCTCGGTCTCATGACTAAGTTTTTACAGGTTAACTCAACCTATTTTTTTAATTGATTTTTTTTTAATTTTATTATTCAATATTGGATTGATTGAAAAATAAATTTAATAATTTTTTTATTTACTTCTACATAATTATCAGGGTCTTATGACATGAATTGAAGATTTGACAAATAACCTGAGTTGATTCGAGGGAATCCAAATAGATTTGAGTAAATCTAAGTAGATCCAATAAATTTTTATCTTACTATTTAAAAAATAATATTGTTATGATTTTTTTTATGAAGCTATATTTTTATTTATTATTTAAATTTTTTTTAGACATGTAAAGCTGATTATATCATATCAAATTAGCTTCTGGGTACTTTATTTTTTTTGTTTTGTTAGAAAATATATTAATTTAGAAATAATAAAAACACGATATGATCGAATCATTTTCCATTTATAATAGTGTTTAGATAAGTGAATGACCTCATCAACTTTGCTATTAAAAACATAATACGGGCAACCGTGTGATAATGGTTTGGATCGAGGTCGGGACAAGTGCTGGAGTTCATGATCTTGACCACCTTGCTTGTTCGAATAATTCTCTTCTATCACCCTTTTTTTTTTTAATGTTTGTTTCGAATAAGTTTTCGAGATTAGTTGTGATTATGATGTCATTCTACTGTCATTAAGAATAAATTAACTCTAACCGAGGATTAAAACACATTTATTAACAACTTTTTGCACTGTGTCTAGCAAATGGAGAATATATTGAAAAGAAAAATACCCTTGAGAATTCACAGCCAAAAAGCGTTAATCACGTTTCTGTTACAAATATAGGAAGGATTCTCAGTAGGTCCAGGTTTAAAACAGGAAAAGGCATGCAAATGGACAAATGTTACTTGAAATCACAGCTATGTTCCTTCTCTGAAACTTCAATTGCTTTATTATACCATTATAGGCATAGCCAAGTCAATCCTGGACCGTGTGGAGCCTAATCAATATAATCAGAGACTGCTGTTTGCCTTTTCCATTTTTCATCACATACTGCTCTGTCTTCTCAATATTTACTTGCCATTTCTTGCTCACCTCCCCTGCTTTTAGTTTTCCTTGCACCTTTTCTACTTCTTTTCCATTCCAAAACAAGCTATGGCTGATGCTATTGTTTCTGCTATCGTGAGTACAATCATGGGGAACTTGAATTCCTTATTTCTTCGAGAGCATGGACTTGCTGGGGGCCTAGAGACTGAGCTTGAAAATATCAAGCGCACGTTTAGAACCATTCAAGGCGTGCTGCAAGATGCAGAGAAGAAGCAGTGGAAGAGTGAGCCTATCAAGGTGTGGCTCAGCGACCTCAAGGATGCAGCTTATGTTGTTGATGATGTACTTGATGAGTTTGTAATTGAAGCTAAGTGGCTTCTGCAGCGAAGAGATCTCAATAATCGAGTAAGATCCTTCTTTTCCAGCAAACATAATCCACTTGTTTTTCGACAAAGAATGGCTCATAAATTGAAGAATGTTAGAGAAAAACTAGATGCCATTGCCAAGGAGAGACAAGATTTCCACCTAGCAGAGGGGGCTGTGGAGATGGAAGCAGATAGTTTTGTTCAGCGCCAGACTTGGTCTTCGGTGAATGAATCAGAAATTTATGGAAGAGGCAAGGAGAAAGAGGAACTAATCAACATGCTGCTGACCACTTCAGGTGATCTCCCTATTCATGCTATAAGGGGGATGGGGGGGATGGGTAAAACAACACTTGTTCAACTGGTCTTCAATGAAGAAAATGTGAAACAACAATTCAGTTTGAGGATCTGGGTGTGTGTATCTACTGATTTCGATCTCAGAAGATTAACAAGAGCCATCATAGAGTCCATTGATGGTGCCTCTTGTGATCTTCAAGAATTGGATCCCTTGCAACGATGCCTCCAACAGAAGTTAACTGGAAAGAAGTTTTTGCTTGTATTGGATGATGTGTGGGATGATTATGGTGATAGGTGGAATAAATTAAAGGAGGTATTAAGGTCCGGAGCTAAAGGTAGTGCTGTCATGGTAACTACGCGTATTGAGATGGTTGCTCTTAGAATGGCAACAGCTTTTGTCAAGTACATGGGGAGATTGTCTGAAGAAGATTCTTGGCAGTTGTTTCAACAGCTTGCATTCGGGATGAGAAGGAAAGAGGAGCGGGCACGCCTGGAAGCCATTGGAGTATCAATAGTGAAGAAGTGTGGTGGTGTTCCTTTAGCTATAAAGGCACTAGGGAACCTAATGCGGTTAAAAGAAAGTGAAGATCAGTGGATAGCTGTCAAAGAAAGTGAGATTTGGGATCTAAGAGAAGACGCAAGCGAGATCTTACCTGCTTTGAGGTTGAGTTACACTAATCTATCACCACATTTGAAGCAATGCTTTGCGTATTGCGCTATATTTCCAAAAGATCGGGTGATGAGGAGGGAGGAGCTGATTGCTTTGTGGAGGGCAAATGGCTTTATTTCTTGCAGAAGAGAAATGGATTT